ATCTTGCGGTATTTGTAAAGCTAAATTACTGCTATTGTTGTTCTTAGAGTTGTTAGCATTGCCGTTTGCCGAATTACCCAAGTCGGGTGCATTGCCTGCTAACGATGAGCCCGTACTAGACGGGTTGATACCATCGATTTGGCCACTACTGGGAACTACAGAAGGTACGCCAAGAATAGCTGTGGGCTCTTCGGGCGGTGTTATTTGTAAGGAAATCTGGTTCTTTTTCGTTTTTTTAAGATGAAATGAAAGTTAGAAAGTAGTTTGGAATATTTCCGAGCGTGCGTGCAACATTTACCTCTAAACCGATACTACCGTTTAGCGCAATTTTTATGGGGTTTGTATGGTTAGTGGCCTGCATTAAAGTGGTAAAGTGGCTGATGCCAATTTCTTCTAAAGAAGATTTTCTGCGACCATGGCTAACACCTACGTTCGGTAAGCCTTGACGTAACGATGTCGAACGTCTCAAAAGGATGTCATTTTCAATCTGCAATTATTCGAATTATTTAAAAAATGAATTGTGAAGGAATAATATCTTTATGGGTAGAATTCATTAGTCCAAACTAAATCGTTAATGTTAAATATAAAATAAATGATATTTCACATATCCTCCTTTTTCTAGAGGCATCTCTCTTCTAAAACCCAAAAGACCGGAATTATGCCAGTAGCTTGGTGTGCTGATTCTGATGAGAGTAGTGTTGGTGTTTATTGTGATGGTTTCTCTAGGCGGTTATCTCTACTCTACGGAGCCGTTGTTGGACAGTTCAAAGTTTAAAAGAAATATATGTATAGTTTGTCAGAAAGGGTATAAGTTAACTGAGGAGAAGGTTAATATAAGAAGGAAGTGGAGGCAGAGTGTAGCCAATTGGGTTAAGAATACTGATAAAAAACCAAATAGGAGGAAATAGAACAAAAAATTTTAGATGGAACTCAATTCAGATTTAGTTTTTTCATTAATAAATTTGGCTTTAATCCACCATAAATCAAAACAAGTTAAAATTTAATTCAAAGTTAACCCAGTAATGGTCAATAGAAAATTTCTTTTGAAAAGTGTTATTACGAGACATTTATTAAGCTCTTCAGAAGAAGTAGAGATTTATAAATAACTACAAAGTGTGCTTCTCTTTAAGAAAGACTGTGTGCAAGACTGTATATAACGGACACTGACGTGCAAAAAAATGAAGTCCAAAAGATGGTTATTAAATAAATGCTACCATTTTACCTTTCGTTATACTCGTGTCTTACAAAAATCACATGAAAAGAGAGAACAACTACAAACAAAGAACAAAAACATCGCAATGACAATTCGTATTTCAAAATGACAAGAATGGCGAAGGCATTCCTTCAGATAGTGTTCATTGGTAAATCACTTGAACCTTGTACTTTAATAATCCATAAAAATTATATATTGCAGTTTCAACAGATGGATACGAATCCGCACAGAAGACGCTTGTGTGTGCAAATTGAGGACTAAAGGGTTAAAACATTTCAAACAAAAATTAAGTTCAAACTCATTTCAAATCGAAATGAGAGACTACCTCTTAGATCAAGCTCAACTGGAACTTAATTTGAGATTAAATTTAATTTAAATGTAAATAGCATTGAGAAGAACAGGAAATGGATTTGTAAGTCTGCAATCGGAAGTAAGAATTTTTCTAAAACTCAGAATAAAAAATGAATATAAAACTGAATATATATATCAAGAACAACAGAAATGAATAAAAAAGGAGAAGAGCACAGTTAAAATCGTATAGCCAACCCGTAATGAATTACTCCGACTACGCTGCGCGCCAACAAGGGTGGGACTGTCGGGTAGAGAAAGAGAATTGGATTTAATTTGTTGTATCGGCGGTGTGCAGCGTGACGATGCATACCCGGCCAATGTTTGTATGCTCTGAATTTGCATTGGACTGAGACCACCTAGGCCAGAGCCGCGCCTTGAACCGGCACCCGCAGCTGCAGCAGCGACCGATATTCCTGCGGCACCACAGGCAGCACTTAAATTAATGTTTGAACAAAATGATATGTTGGATTTGCGCCGAGAGTTATGACGTTCAAAAGTTTTCTGAGCCGAGAAAGGTGAAGGACGCACTAAATAACTGAAAACGAAAGAAAAAGATAGCTAGAACTAACTAGTTAATAGAATCCCACAAATATATTTACATGATATCGCCTTCTTCTAATTTAAGATCACAGCTTGGATTGATTATTACATAAGAGAGATGATTACGCTTTTCACTGACGTCATCGTAATCTATAGTAGGCAAATTCAATGACTCCATACGACTGCGCACTAGATTTGCTATTTCGGCGCGTTCAATTTGCTGTGCATGATTGTCACGCGCTTCATCAGCTAAATTTATTGAATACTGAAAATACATAGACGACTGAAATACAACCGCATAATTTGTTTAAACAATGTGTTTTCATAAACTTTAAAAGACAATCTTCTAACTTCTCTTTCTTAATTTTTGTGTTTTTTCTCTTTAACTACTTTAAGCTTTCCTTATTGCGCAGAAAGCTTACAATTTATTCAAATGCTGAACTTATTTTTTCTTATACACATGAACATGTCATTTTATTTGTGCTCATGTAAGTGATAGCAGCTATGTTATAACTTTCCTTTTTTTTAATTTTGCCTATAATCATAGTTCAGATTGTTTTGGTTTTTTTTTTAATTATTAGAATTCCATGCTGACTTCAACTACTTTCTAAGCATCAGCATCAACATTTCAATACGCAAGCCAAGAGTAGCGTTAAATGTGTTATTATTAAATTGGAAGTAATACCTACCTGTGCTTTGAGCGCATTTCTTTGGATTTTGATGTTTTGAACATATATTTAAAAAAGCAACATTAATCGCAACCGTCATCGATGTGGAATATCTTATGTTAAGACTTAAAATTACACTTTTTTTATGGAATGAATCTGAGCCCACCAGAGACAACAAAATAACAAGATGGTCCAATATTTTTTTCAAAATTCAAAATAAGAAATTAATGCGACGTCTTGTGCTTGCACTTTTATTCTCATTATTCGTATAATAGTTTTTTGATATGACGATGTAACGTATTTAAGCTTTGCAAGGATGTAAGTATTTTTTATTTATATCATGAACCTATCGTACGTTTTCCGGCCTGGCTCCTCGGATGAGATAGGTAAAAAAAAAATTGTAATTTATTCTCATGATATTTTATTTGTTACGGTACAAATGTTTCATTATTTAAAAAAAAAAAACATGCTTACTTTTAATTTGAAATTTTTTCTGGAATATATACAATACTATGCCCTATTAATATTGCTTTTCCTCCATCCCTCAGTCACCCCCAGGAAGTGTCACCAGTTATTTAATATTTTTAAAAATAATACGTTTCTTTTATTTTTTCAAAATAAAAAGCAAAAAAAGAAAAATAACGAAATGAAATTATTTAAGTTAAATGTAATTAAACTAATTTAAAATCTAAAAAAAAGTTTCACAATTCAAGGACACTTATGTTTTTTTTTTTCTTTTTTTTTAAGAAGAAGTAAATCAATTACAATTTATAGGGTTTGAAATTTATTTTTAATTATCATCACTTAACAACGGATGCTCAGATTTATAATAGAAAAGGTTATTCGCAAATAAACGAAAGTGTTGATTAATTTAATTTAACATATCAAAAGAAACCTACCAAATCAAGCAACCACGTTGATGCGCACTGCCGCAGCTAAATGATTTTTTATCAGATTATAAATTTTAAAATTTTTCATTAATAATAGGAAAAAAATGCAAAAAAATTGTCGTTTATTGATTCGATGAGACACATAACCGCTTGGAAAATGGATATTTTCAACGCCTTAGGGGTGATCGGAAAAAAAATCGATCCTTAGAGCCACGCAATTATCCCCATCTCTAACGCGTGAGTCGACCAACTGGACAGAATTGGGATCTTTGTGTATTTTCTGCTTTTTAATTATAACTTGTATGTTGTTAGGGTCGAAATTCGTGATATAGTTTTTTCCACAATATAGCTACATATATTTTCAGTTTTTGTAGTTTTTTCAGCAAGAAGTTTCTGTTATTTTTACTTTTTTTCTTTTGAAAAAAAAAAATATCAATGAAATGATAGTTCTCTTTAAAAATGTAAGGAAAAACCAAATTTCAAAATCTCCAAAAACTGACAAATCAAAACTGAGTTTATAATCACTTCCAGTGAGCACATAGCTGTTTGTTCGAAATACACAATCCGTCAACTGACTAAATTTTCTTTCTCTATCCCCCAGGAAAACTCAAATTTTTTTTTTTTTTTTGACAAATAACGACTTTTTCTTTTATTTTTTTTATTTATTTATTTATTTTTTTTGTACTACAGTGCCTATTACAATCCCCCTACGAAGAATCAGCTTTGGGGCAACAAAAAAATTGCCACAAAGATGAGTAATGATCTTCACTGACGTATATCGTTTGCGTGATATGTCCCAATATATTTACTTCCTAAATTTTCCAGTTCACAATAAGAATTACCTAACTTTTTTTTAACTCTTGCTTTTATAAATAAGGGAGATAGTTTAGAACATTGTCCTTTTTCAAAATTAGAATGCTTAAACTTCGTTCTGAATACTTTTTGTCCTTCCCCGTGAGTTACTATTTTAGTTCTCAAATTGTAATTTTTCTTATTTCTCTCAAACTGGTTTTGAATATGATTACAAGCTTGTTTCCAGACAATATTTAAGGCACCTTCCTTGAAAAAATTCGCCGTCCCGACTTCCGTTATTTTTGCTTGTTTAAATAATACATAACTTTTTGCATTTGTAATTATATGTTGGCCAAATGTGGTATAATATGGCTCGATGCCAATCACAGAGTGAGCGCTTGATCGCAATGCACACAACTTGACTAAGCATTTTATCCCAATTTTTTTGATCTACGTTGACATAAGCTCTAATTGCAGCAATAACAGTTCGACTAACACGTTTCGATGCATTAGCCTGAGGTGAATGAACAGCTGTAAAAGTGTAAGTAATATTGTATTTTTTAATCAATTGTTCAAATTGATTAGACTTAAATTGTACACCATTGATACGATAATTTCGGGTTTAAACGTTTCCAAAAACGTGAAAAATGTCTTCGTCTAAAAATTTGCATATTGCATCAGTGGTTAATTTTTTAACAGCCAAAATTTTGATAAGTGGTCTGCAACTACAAATATCCCAATATTTCCTGTCCTATATGGACCTAGGAAATAGATGGATAGTTTTTTAAATATCCTTTGAGTCATAGTAGTTTTGCCCATGGGTGGTCGTAAATCATAATTAGGATGTTTTGTCAATTTACAAATATCGCACCCATTTATATGGTTTTTTACGTTATTAACCAAGTAAATAGTAAACTGGACGAATTCGTTCTATCCGTTTGGTTATTCCTAAATGTGAAGGCAGACGATCATTGTGAGCCCTATAAATAATTTGATTAATCATCGTATTTGGAATCCATAATCTCCTCATTCTATAATTCTTTGTCTGAATTAATACGTGAGAGGACGTCGGGAACGATGTGCTGACTGCCTTTTCGATGACAAATTTTAAATTTAAAAGCCTGTAGTTTTAAAGCCCGTCTTGCTAATGGGGAGTTTAAATCCGTTTGAGACATAAGCCACTTTAAAGATGCCTGATCGGTAACTATAGTAAATTCATGGCCTTCGACATAAGCCCTAAATTTTTTAACACTAAGAATGGCAGCTAAACACTTCCTACACAATTCCGTAACTGAGTAATTTCTTTGAGCTTTATTTAACTTTCTAGACATGAATGCAATAGGAACTTCATCACCTTGTAACGAGTCTTCTTGGGCAGGGTATACTCAGCCAATCCAAGACTCTTTCAAAGAATATTTATAAACATTACTTAGACCTTCGGTTTCGGTTTTACGTTTTTGTTTATTTAAATTGCAAGGAGATTGTAGTATTTACGCGAATTTTAAGAGGCGTGTGAGGAAACCAGCGTGGTGACCCGAATTTTCTTTAGCGTTCCTTTTAATACTTCGTACGGACTATTATTATCATCCACGTTTGCGTATCGCGAGTTTCTTTTGGCTGCTACTGCACATCTGAAAAGCTGAGCGTGGTGCGACACGCTCTTTTACAGTCGCCATCACGCTCGCTGTTCCGTTACATGTACGTTCTATACGCGTTTACATGGTTTAGGTTCAACGTGTTTGTGAGAATTTCTGCCGCAACCTCAGTTATATGAAATTACTTACACATATTTTAGCACTAATACTATCTTACGTGCCGACTTATGTCTATCCTGTTGCTATGCTTTTATGATGCTGATTACGCCTTCATGTGCTTAAAAGACCTTTTTTTCTTGCCAGATTTCCTGACTAAGTTCCTTCCTCCTAGATTACTTGCTTTCTCCTCTTTTTTGCTATTTTTTTCTTTAGTTTAAATTACTTAATATTTCCTTTTTTTTTGCATTTATTTTTCGTTTTAAATTCCTTAATTTCATTTATTGTAGGCCTTTCTCTCCATTGCTCTCACTATCCTCGTTTTTCTTTTTTTCCGCACATCTTGTACACTTCTTAGCTCCTCGGCCAGCAAACTTCAACTCCCCATGCTCTCACATAATTCAAAATTCTATACTCTTAAATAATTCAAAATTTTTGACGCTCACATAATTCAAAATTCCATACTCTCACATAATTCAAAATTCCGCTTTCTTATAAACATTTTGTAGTCGGTATATTTATACATAATATGCGTTAGAACTACGCAGCACACTTAGTGTGTAAATTTTTTTCTTGGCTATGCTTCTAAATATATGTCGGTGTAAAACTTTTATAAATGCATGGTTATTAATATTAGATCCATAGCCATATACAAGGTAGTACTCTCTACATTTATTTTTGCTTCTTGCAAGCGAAGGTTTGAGAAAGCGTTATAGTCTATGTGGTATATGCAAGACCAACTATTAAATATTACTTCACCACTATAATTTTTCACCGATTTGCGTCATAAAGTGAAATGTTGCACTTTTTTGCAGTGTAGAGGCTTACACGGTATTTGCACCATACGGTGTTATTCTTTATCTTATTTATGGCAATGAGATCTAACTTTTATTATGTTACGACAAAATTTGTGAAATATAATGCTGAGATAAGTTTGAACTAGACCAAAAATCGAGGTGAATAAAAAATAAGGGGATAAATAAATTTTAAGTTTAATGTAGATCGTCTTTATTTTTCCTTTTACGTTTTTTGCTTATCATTCTTCACTCGAAGAATTGAATTCGTTTGAGTCGGTTGATGATGTCTAAGCAACGATCGTTATCAACTTCTTCTAAATCCAAAAATCGCGTTAAATTATAGGACAAATGTATGAAACGTCCCATATACCTAAGCGCTCACTTCTTTATTAATAAGTTACTGCTAGTTTATCAAACTGTTCCTATTTATTAGGGATTAACGGTTACATATCGTAATATATTTACGTTGCCAACGATCCATAGTTTCCCTATATATACATGTTAATATATTTCAACTATAAGTAGCCCACATATATATAGGTACAAACCAAATTTCACTACTATTGTGCAAAGTATGGTCTACCTCGCCAGAAATCAGCCTTGGTTATTCTCGAGAGCCAGCGTGCAATTAAAAGTAAACGTTTTATTATTCATATATTTCTTAAGTTTCCGGGCATCCAGGATCTGTACATTATTTTTAATTTTTGTTGGTTTTCCATTATTGTCAACCACTAGGACGTTTCTTATCCGCACTATTGTGTTTAGTAAATATGGAAGCATTGGAGGTTTTTTAAAAAACTATATGCCGGTATTCTCGGCCGTGCTGCTGACGCAGTCGCTGATCCGGCTAAAGGCTTAAGATGGTCATGTCCTGACTGTAGGCAGTGGGACATTGACTTTTATAAACTTTTCACGGAGACCCATTATGGTTTCTCGGAATTGACTAGAAATCTCGGCTCGTTGTGGGAAAAGTTTGAGCTCATTAAGTCTAGGTTTGATGAGTGTCGCTTTATTGGACACTCACCTTCTACTCGTAGCGTAACGTGTGGGACGTCACCTCTGGCTTTCTCCTAATCTAATTCGTTGGTACAAGTTACCGCTCCCTCTAACTCTAAAATGAATAGTAATGTTTCCGATATTGCTGAGTCGGTTGGTAGCAAAAC